GCTCTATTCACAATAGCTAAGCTAACAAATCAACCTAGGTGCCCTTCAATAGATGAATACATAAAGAAAATGTAATATATATACACAATGGAATATTACTGAACTGTTTTAAAAAATGACTTTAGGACTTTTGTTGGTAAATGAATGGACCTGGAGACTCTCATGCTAAGTGAAATAAGCTAATCCCAGAAAAACCAAAGGTCTAATGTTCTCTCTGATGTGAAGATGCTAACACACAATAAGGGGCGAGGTGGGAGGAAGAATAGAAGTTCATTGGTTTAGACAAAGGGGAATGAAGGAAAAGGGATGGGGATGGGAACAGAATGAATTGGTCACAGCTTTCCTATGTTCATATACGAATACATGACCAGTGAATCTCCACATCATGTACAACCACAAGAATAGTAGCTTAATTAGAATGTTATACCCCATGCATGTATAATATGTTAAACTATACTCTACTGTTATGCATATCTAAAAAAGAATACATTTTTTCAAAAAAAAAAAAAAAGAATCCAGACATAGTATTCCCCCAAATCTGCAGGCTGTTGATAATTTTCAAAGATGCCAAAGTAATTAAATGAGGAAAAGGATAGTCTTATCAACAAATGATACTGGAATAACTGGATACCCATAAGGAAAAATGAACCCTGATTCTTATGCAGTATATAAAAATTAACTCAAAGTGGATCATTGACCTAAATGTTACAACTATAAAAGTTCAATTAAAGAAAACTCCAAAAATTTGTCAACAAAGATTTCTTAACCAGGACACAAAATGTACTAACTTTTTTTAAAAAAAGGAATTTTGTAAATTGGGCTGCACCAAAATTAAAATTTTCAGTTATGAGACACACTGTTAACACAATGGAAAGGCAAGCTACAGACTGGGAGCAAATATTTATAACCCATATATCTGATAAAGGGCTCACCTCAAGAACATATGAAGAACTCTTACAACACAATAGTGAGACAACCTAATGAGAAAAGGACAGGAGGGGTGTTTGAACAAATACATCAGGAAATAATAACCCATAAACTCATGAAGAGATACTCAACATCATTTTACTGTGGGAAAAATAAATGAAAACTATGATGAGATACAACAGCATGCCCACTTGAATGGCTAAAATTAAAGACACAATTCAAGCACTGGCTGGGATGTGGAGCAATCAAAGCCTCATGCACAGCTGACAAAAGTGTAAAATAATGCAACCACTGAACACTAGTGGTATTTTCCTAACCAAAAACCCATATAGCAAGTCCATTTCTAGTTATTTATGTAAAAATATATCCATAAGAAGATTGGTACATGAAGGTTCAAAGGTTTATCCATAGAGCATAAACTGGAAACAACTGAAAATGAATGTGAATAGATAAATTGTACATTATTTAGAAAATGGAATACTTCTCAACAGTAAGAAGGAAGTGCTACTGTTCATGCAGAAGCATGGATGTTCTGTTATATGAAATTATAGAACAAATAAGACTTATCTATTGTGACAGGAAAATGAATCTTTGATTGCCTGAGACTAGGTTTGGTGAAATATTTCTGAAATAGGCCCTGAGGGAACTTTGGGGGCTAATGAAAATTGGATATACAAATTTGTATGTTTGTCAAAACTCACTGAACTGTATACTTTTCTCAGTATGAGCCTGTGTGTAAATTATTTCTCAAAAGGTTCATTTGAAAAAGTACGAAAGAAGCCACAGTGTAATCATAATATAAAAATCATCTGAACTTCTACTCCAGAAAATAGTCTTCACAATTGCTTCACTTTTGCTGTGTTCTATGAAAATGTAGCTTAACATAATGTGTCGTCTTAAGCTGTTTGGTAGAAAAATCAATTTTAGGAATAAACAAGTACTTTGGTAACAAGCTTCATAGAAAAAATCTTTTATGAGAAATAGCTTCATTTTAAGATCAGAAGCTACAGTTGATGACTACCTTATGGTTTTTTAATTGTATAAGTGAAACCATATCAGATGTTTTGCTGTGGAAATTTTTCTCATTATCAAGTTGGATCTAAAATGCAGGGATTAGTGTTTCTCCAAAAAAAAAAAAAAAAAAAAAAAAAAAAATCCCTTTGCAAGACCTCATTACAAGTTCAACTTATTTTTCTTCCTTTTACATTTTTATGCCAAAATAGCTTTTATAATTACTTCCTTACACTTAACTATAATTTTATGCAACAAATAAAATGATTATATACAATCACACATTTTCGTTACAATTTGATTATTTTGATTGTACAGAGATTTTACGTTAGCCCAGTTCTCAAGACTTAGTTACTAAAAAATTTAACACACACACACACAACCAGAATTATATATAATATGGCCTAATACACATGAGTTTGCAAGTAATTTCCTTTTTTCCCAGACTTATTCCCTATTGTCATGTTTTCTCGTGGCATATATTTATTTATTCTAGTTTTTACTGATCAACTAAATCTGCCAATGATTCAAATTTCCAGGATATTGTGACACTTTATAGGGATAGTGATGTATAATATTCATGATTAGGAGTTATTCTGTGAGGCCTGTGACATTTGATCACCATTTTATATGAGTACATAGTGGTCTCAATATAATGTTTACATTTTAAAATGATATTTGTTTTCTACTTTAATTTGATATGTAATCTGGCCACCACATTTCTCATAAGAAGCCATATGTAATCTGACTTTTTAAAACATTATCTTTTGAAATATATAGGACAGTGATTTTTACAAAAGCATAATTGATGGAGGAAAAGAAGTGATTCCAGTTGAGATGAGGATAGAACATGTAACTCAATCACTCCATGTTTAAATGACTGCATTAGAAAAATACTTTTCCATTCTCAAAATATTTGACATTCAATATAAATGCAACTGGCAGTCCCTGCCCACTCTTATGACTGGACTTCACGTCCCTCTTGTGGACTACAGAGGGCCTGGTGCTCCCTCCTCCCACAGCTCATCCCACCAAGTGGTGATTGTGTCTTTGTCCCATCGTCTCTGAGATTTTGGGGGGCAGGAAATGCACTTCAGTCTTGTTGCTTGCGCGGTGGCATATGGTGCCATACACGTAGAGGGTGTCAATGGATGAACAGACAAATGGGAATATGAGAGCAGCCCTGCACTTCCATGGTCATTGTCTCTGCCTGACCCAAGCAGGGTTTCATGGTAGCAGCATTTCTGACATAAGACTTGAGTTTCTAGCTGGTAAAACCAAAGAAATAACCACCAACTGAAGCACCAAGTTCTAGATGGGTTTTCTACAACATCATGAGTTCTGAACGATGATGGTACTTTCTATGTTAGTTTTTTCCTAAGCAGTTGTACTCTTATTTGGTGGTTGGAAACCCAGCCTTGCTGGACCTGTTTCCCTATGGCAATAGCTGTCATTTATAAAACACTCAGCAAAAGATCCTACCCTCCTTCTATGCCAGCCCTCCCTCGTGTGGATTATCAGTTAATTTTCACAATAACTTGATGAAATACACAATATGTATGTGCTGAGGAAATGGAGGCTTAAGGAGGTTGAGTAACTCCCCCAAGTTCATACAGTAAGTGAAGAACTCAGGCTCCAAACCAGTTAGGCAGGCTCCAGAGCTTAAGGTCTTCATCAATCCCACTGTTTCATTTTATTTTTTTTAAGGCGTTTATCACCATGTGAAATTTTTCTATTTTTGTTTCTATATCAGAATGTTTATTCCTTTGTTGTATCCCCACATATAAAACAGCGCCTGGCACATAGTAGGTGTTCAGTAAGTATTAGATTAAGGATTAGGTGCTGCCTTCTTTCATGTGGGATAAAGAGTAAGACTCCTAGATCATTTCTAAATGATTCTTATACTTTAGGAGTATTCAGTTTTAGGAAATGATTTGTTCAAATAGAAAACTCCCCAAACTGCTTACAAAAAGCTCTTAACCTTGAAGACATCACTGCATTAAATAGCCAACCACTCATGTAGGAATTTTGACTATGTGCCAATCTGAATTTCTATCCTGAGTTTGGGTTGACCCTCTTTGAGGGGAAATTCTTCTTTTATGTCATACATATCCCCTTTGTTATCCCTTAAAGGTGCCTAAATCAAAACAAAGCAAACCCTAATCCCTGCAGGCTTTGGAGAGGAGTTGACCCTGACCTTCCCACTTTGCTATGCACAGCCCCACATTCCAAAAAGATCTTGAATCTTTCTCACCTCCCATTTCTCTAGCTAATTACGTGCAATAGTTACAAATGAAATTTTAAAAAAATCAGATAAAAAAGGTGTTTCTCAGAACCACAGAAGGACCTACCTGGGCTGCCAGGGTCTTGCAGCTCAGAAGCCAAGGCTGTTTCTGAAGTCACATAGTTATCACCCCTCTTCTTCTTTCTGTTTTTTCACCCTGGCCACCTTTTATCCTTTCACCATATCCTTTCTTGAATATATTGTTTGCTTCCTCTCTTAGTTCAGTAAAAAATCTAGCGGCTGCAAAAACAGTGTGTCTTTCTGCTAACCCCATCCCCCAAGCCCACATTTTAAAACTAAATCTCATCTCCCTCTGAAACTCCATAATTTCTTTGTGACCTCTGTCTCACCCAGTACCAGAGTCTGGGCTTTTTGTGAATCTTTTGTGCCCTTCTGTACCATTAATACTAACATTCTGTGATTCCAGGACTGCTATATTTTAAACAAGGATTCACTAAATAATTTGTTTAATTGGGAAGTCCCTGAGTATAATTAATCTTTTGTCTACAAGAGATATCTTATAAACATTTTAAGGGCACATTCTTATTGAAATGAGTGCCTCACTAGTAAAAACTTTCCCTATTATGTTTTTTTAAATTTTTTTTTTAATTTGAACCCTTTTAAGGCTTCCCTTTCTGGAATAGGCTATCTCAAGCCAGAGTTGGGGACCTTGTCCTTTCTTGTTGGAGCAGAGTTCACATTCTATTTATTCCATATAGTCCATTCCATAAGTGTTTTTGAAACATTAATTACCACTTGTTTCTATCTCTACATTCAGATTATATTCAGTGCCCATATTGTATGAGGAGGTTTAATGAAACTGCAGCCACGCGACATATAAATTTCTGCAAGGATCAGTCTTCTCGAAAAGTCTTTGATCCAGCTCAGACAGCAGCCAAATTGGCATCCAGAGCTCAGGTAAATCTCTCTCCCCAGGTGTTGGCTTTGTGTCCTTGCATGCCTGGGGCAAGCAGGTAGAATTTGCAAGAACCTCAAATACCCATCCTAAGAAGTGTAAGGATCAAGAGGTCTGATTACTGTCACTCATCCCCCTGGGTGTTTCTTCTTTTGGAAGGCATGCTTTCTAGCCCACAATACCTTGGGGTATTGTGGAAAAAGCTCAAAGCTTCTTAGGATAAAGACTGGAATATATAAAATGTGTTTATGTAGCATTATGCTAAACCCCTATTTATCTGTTGGAGATTATCAGCCTAAACCACCCAGAATAGAACTGAGTGGAAGTGGCCTGGGGGCATGGATGGAGAATCACAGGAAGATGCTCTGTAAGTTTACATTGTGATCTGTAGAGGAGAGATGTCTTCAGCCTTTTGTTTAAGGCCACAGAACCAGCAAGTTAAAGTATGTGGGTGAATGGAAGCAGCTGTTACAAATACATACAAATAGGTAAAATGACAACCTGAGCTGGATAACAATAACATTATAACCTCACAATTGGAGTCAGCACACAGCTCCATACACATCAAAGGTCCTAATTCACAGTGCAGCATGGAAACCAGTAGTTTCACAAACTCGAGTCAGCCAGCAAGAGACATATTAAGTTGGTCTGAATTACTTTAAGAGCAGATAACATGTTTAGAAAGCTTTCCATTAAATCCAGTATCTCATGGGGATGGGACAATTTCCAACACTGGTGTATTCCATAGTAGACTATGATTCTGGGCTCTCTCTCCTCATCTATCAGGGAATGGCTCAATATCAGCTGTATACCAGACACCACGCCAGGTACTGTTGATCAGATATTTGTAATTCAAAGTAGGGAGCTTGGAAACAATACAATACAAGAGTGTTTTCACTGATGTATGTAGGAGGGCTGTGGAGGAGATGCCCATGGGATTCCTGGGCATTTTCGAAGGTAAGCAAACATTATCTTTTAAGTGTCAAAATGAGCTCCCCAGCTCAGAGTTGGGGGGGGGAGGACAGGGTGCAAAAAATGTCTTGCCTGAGATGCCACCCAAAGTCTGTGGGGAAAATCTGAGGACAGCAAGGCCCAGGGCTCAAAAACAGGAACTGGAAATCCCGGGGTACCTAGGAAGTCCTCCTTCCCACTGTCCGTCCCAGTGCTCCCTCTTGCTGTGCTTCTGCCTCCTCTGCAAACTGGTTTTCTTGGCTTTCCATCTGGTTGTCTACTAGTGGCCTCATGCATCATCCCATAGGTAGACTAGTTGAACAGTGGAAATTAATGTGACATACAACTGGCTTTTTAGAAAGGTTATTCTTGCAATTACTGTCCAAGACTGTGGGAGACCAGGAAGGAGCCACAGCAATGGGAAAAATCAGGGTCTGGGTTAAGAGAATGAAGGGGGGTAGGAGCCAGGGTGGATTTATTGATGATTGGGTTCTAGTGTAAAAGTGGGCTTCTGTTCATAATACAGGTTGAGTACCCCTTATCTAAGATAACTAGGACCAGAAGTGTTTCAAGATTTTTATGTTTTTTAAATTTGGGGGGCATATTTGCATACACACAATGAGATATCTTGGGGGGACCCCTAAGTCTAATACACAATTCATATATGCTCATATTCATCTCACAGAGCCTGAAGGTATTTTTCACATGTCTGTGTTTAGACTGGCACATCGTATGAGGTCAGATGTGGAATTTTCCACTTGTGGTGGTTTTTATATTGGTGCCCAAAACTTCCTGATTTTTGAGCATTTCAGATGTCAGATTTGGGAGTTAGGGATGCTCAACCTAAACTATTAATCTAGCTAAAGGAGCACAGGAGCGGGGAGGGTTTGTGGTGTGTTGCGGTGGGCGGAGGTGCATGAGCTGGTGGTCATAAATACAATTTTAGAGACTCAGCCCTTACAGATGAGGGAGCCTAGAGAGTAGTGCAGTGTTGAAAGAGCCAGAACTCTGCAGTCAGTACTCAGAGTTTGACCTCAGTTCTGCAGTCCATTGTTTGTAGGTAAATTCTGAGACTCACTCGGATCTATACGATGGGCTTGAGCCTGGGAGCCTTGCTGAGTTGCAGGAGGATTATAGACAGCTGAGATCAGTGTGTTCATCCAGGGTTCCTCTACCCTTCCTCTCTGCAGGAGCCCCTTCCTCTCCTTAGGGTTGGCACCCAATTTGGGAGGGCTGTAACTGCTTTGGGCTTGAGTTCAACTTACACTTGGAACAGTGTGTAAGTGTGAACTCCCCCTCTGCCTTGTAAAGCAGTAGAGGGCTAGTAACATTTCTGCAAGTGATTCTTCTAACCAGTCCACGAGGTCAGTTGGCATTAGTGAGACCAAAGAAGGCACAGAGAAGTGGTGAACGGAAGTGGTTTTTATTCCTGAAGAAAGCCAGCTGGCTGTCCTGAGTGTAACCAGTGACTTGGCCCTGTTCCTCTCCTTATTTTCCAGAGCTAAGCGGGGTGACTGGGAACACAGCAGAAAGCTCGCTTGCTTTCTGCATTCCTTTGCTTGCTTTCCAGTCTATCTGAATGGCAGTGTCTGCTTCCCTTATGCCAGCATCACTACTTGTGGCCTTGCCTAATAGTGAAGCTTATTCAGAAATGGGACAAGAAGGGAGGGGATGTTTCAGTTTTGAAGGACTTAACGGCACAGCAACAATGTGTTTCTATTTTAAACATAATCATCTTTAAAATGTGTCATACCCTTAACCAAAAGAGACCAATATGGGCCTCTAAGAATTGCTTTCTTTGGTTTGGATGGGGTTGAGCTATCTGCTACCATCTCACGGCCGTCCTTGCCTGGGTGAGAACACTCTGAGTAGCGGGTCATCTTTCTACTGTAGTTTCTATGGGACTAGGAGGTGCATCAGTTGTGAGGTAAAGAGGAGCTCATCAGGGATGTTTTGGTTCTTATTTTGTGTTTATCTAACCATTCTGTGGCTGCTCTGCAGGTATAGATATGGCTGGGGGTGTTGGAATGCCATGCTTAAAACATTTTCTGCCTGCCCATCTCTGTTCTTCTTCTCTATTCATGTTAGAAAACAAAATTATTTTCAAGTGGAATGAAAAAACATGATGTTCCATAACCATGTTCTTATTGACATTAAGTAGTTTATTACGTCTCCGTATACCTGATTTTATAGAATAAGCTTACCTTCAACAACCACAAGGGCTTGATTATGGAATGAAAACTCCAAACCCAAATGTGGCTTTGAGCCACCTACAAGAAGGACAGGATCCAGGCTAGGGTTATGGCCCAGTGGTAGAGCACTCGCCTTGCATGTGTGAGGCACTCGATTCAATCCTCAGCACCACATAAAAAGGATAAATAATAAAGTCATTGTGCCTGTCTACAAATAAATTTTTTTTAAAGAAAGGATAGGATCCAAGCTGAGGTGTAGGGTGTGCTTGTTCCCTTACCTGGGTGCAGGGGGTTCCTGCAGATGAGTTAAAGGACACAGCCTCTGGCATATGGTACCTGTGGTTATAGAACTGTGCTCCGTCTCTCCCTCCCTCTCTCTAGGGCAGGGCTCAGGTGAGTCCCAAAAAAGAACCAACTGTTACCAGTGCTGTGGGAGCTTTGCTGCAGAACAGGGCCCTGGATACCACAAATGGAGTCCCAACCAGGTCAGGTAAGTCAGAGTGTTTACTTTAGCTTTCCAGTGATGGGGTCAGAGAGGGCCCTCATTGGCTTTGGGATTCATCCATAATTGGCAAAAGCTAACAGGACATCCAGTGTTGCTTTTGGATACAAAAGATGTGTGAGTTTGTTTGAGGTTAAAGCTTATTTGCCAAGAGGGAATATTTCTTAATTTATCAGGATTACACAACTTATGACAATGTACAAAGTCCAATCCCCTTGCAGCAATCAGAGTCTACAACTATTGTTCTTCCGGTCTCTAAAAACTGAAAACATTGAGAATAGATGGCATGTCAGGTGCTGTGTTAAAAATAGAGGATTTTCTTTCTAGAAATAAGTCATTTCATCAAAGTAGCTGCACAGCCTGGCCACCATGACAGTATTGAGTTTGTGCCAGCCCATTTCCCTTCGTCCTCCCAATGTGTTTTCACTTATTTCACTCTGCGTTTTATAGAATGGGAAAAGGAGGTTTGAAGAGGGTAAGTTAGTTTTCTGAGGCACACAGCTGGTAACCAGCAGGCTGGATTAGGTATATACCATGCTATCCCCTCTCCATTTAAGCTGCATTAATAAATGTGGCAGTCTTCTCCGTGGTCAATATGTACTTCCAAGGCAGGATGGATAGTTTCATGGCCATAGTGGCACCTCTGATCAGAAGTCATATTTTGAAGGTATTCTCAGAACTAGAATAAGAATCTACTGTCACACAGTAAAAAAAGTAGCAGCATGGAAAGTTTTGTTATTAGTTTTAAATTCCTTATGGACTTTAAAAGTCCACATGGATTAAAAATTGAGTTGAGGTATACATTTTTTTATACTGCTGGGGATTGAACTTGGGGGTGCTTTACCATAGAGATATTCACAGGCTTTTTTAGTTTTTTGTTTAGAGACAGGACCTTGCTAAATTGCTTGGGGCCTAAGTTGCTGAGGCTAGCCTTGAACTTGTGATCCTCCTGCCTTAGTCTCCCAATTCCTGGGATTATGGGGGGTGCACCATCATGCCTAGATTTTTTTTTTTAAAGAACCACAATAATGTTTTCCAGCAGCTATATCATTTCAGTTTTCAACCAACACTGCACAAGGGTTCCATTTTCTCGATATCCTTACCAGCACTTGTTATTTTCTGTATTTTTGTAGTTGTTGTTGTTTTTAATAGTAGCTGCCCTAATGGATATGAAGTGGTATCTCATTGTAGTTTTATTTTTGCATTTCTTTAATGATCTATATTGCTAAGAATCTTTTCAAGGGCTTGTTGGTGATTTGTAGATATTCTTTTGAGAAATGTCCATTCCAGGCCCTTGCCCATTTTTTCATTAGTTGCTTGTTTTTTGTTGCTCAGTTTTATGAATTTTCTAATACCCTGGATTTTACCTTTATCAGATGCTTGAGCTACAAATATTTTCTTCCATTCTGTGAATTGCCTTTTTACTCTGTTGATACTGTCTTTAGATTCAATTTTTTTTAAATTGTCTATTTTTTCTTTGGTTGCCTGCACTTTTGGTGCCATGTTCAAGAAATCATTGTCTAATCCAAGATCTTGGAGATTTACCCCTATATTTTCTCCTAAGTTTCATAGTTTTGTGTTCTACGTTTAGACTTTTGACCCATTTTGAGTTGATTTTTATATATTGTGCTAGCTAAAGGTTCTACTCCATTCTTTTGCATGTGGATGTCCAATTTTCCATTTGTTTAAAAGATTGTCCTCTATCCATCAAATGGTCTTGACACTCTTGTCACAATCATTTGAACCATATATGCAAGTTATTTCTAGATTCTTTATTTTATTGGTTTATCGGTGTCTTTTTTGCCAGTACCACATTATCTTGATTACGGTAGTATTTACTTCAGAAAATGTGAGCTCTACAAGATATAACCAAGGTTGTTTTGGATATTTCAGGGTCTCTTGAAACCCTATATGAGTTTTAAGACAGACTTTCCTGTTTGTGAAAAAATATTATTAGAATTTTGACAGGAATTGCATTAAATCTGTAGATTGCTTGAGAGGTAGCATTAGCATGTTGGCAATAATAAATCTTCCAATCCATAATCATGGGATATGTATCAGTTTACTTGAGTCTTTAATTTCTTTTAGCCGGCTTGTATAGTTTTTATTGTACAAGTTTTCATATCATTGGTTAATTCCTTGGTAGTTTATTCTTTTTGATGCTACTCAAAGTTTTCATAATGTCCTTTTCAAATTGTCCATTGTTAGTATCTAGAAAAGGAATTAATGTGTGTTAACTTTGTATACTGCTACATTGATGGATTTATTACTTACAACTTTTTTTCTGATAAAATCTTAGGGTTTTCTACATACCACTGCATCTGTGAAGAGACAATTTTACTACTTCCTTTCCAATTTGGGTGTTTGTTTATTTTACTTGCCTAATTGTTCTGGCTAAAAAACTCTTTTTCTATATTGAAAGAAAATATTCTGTGTGTTTTTCATTTGTAGATTTTTAGAGTGTTAGGGTTATTTCCTTCTATTCTTGGTTTGTCTAGTGTTTTTTTTTTTTTTATCATGAAAGGATGCTGAGTTTTGTAAATGCTTTTTCTGCATTAGTTGATACAAAAATGTAGTTTTTCTTCTCCATTCTATTAAGGTATACTACATTGATTTCATACATCTATCTTTGTATTATAAGAATAAATCATACTTGGTCCTGTTGTATAATTCTTTTTATATGGTGCTGAATTTAGTTTGCAATTCTAGACTGATGGAGTGAATTAGGATTTTTTTTGGGGGGGGGGGCGGGGGAACACTTTGAGAAGAATCAGTGTTAATTGTGTTTTAAATGTTCAGTAGAGTTCACCACTAACACCATCAGGTCCAGCTTTTGTTTATCATCAGTTTTTTGATTCCTGATATATCTCCTTGCTAGTTATGTCTGTTCATATTTTTTTAATTTCTTCATAATTTAATCATAGTAGATTTTGCATTTTTAGGAATTTGTCCATTTCATCAAGGTCAAACTTGTTGCAATATTATTGTTCATAGTATTCTCATGAAATTCTTTTTATTCTGTAGAATAGGGTAGTAATATCCCCAGTTTCATTTCTAACTTTAGTAATTAGAACCTTCTTCCCTTTTTTTCTTAATCCATGTAGCTAATGGCTTGTTGATTTCTTGGTCTTTCCAAAGAAGCAACTTTTGATTTTTACTGATTTTATTTCCCTTATTTTTGTGTTCTCAATTTTATCTCTCCCTTAATGTTTATTATCTGCTTCCTTCCTCTAGCTTTAGGTTAGTTGTCTTTTTTTTTCCTCATTCCTTAAGTTGCAAAGTTAGGTTGTAGGCTTTTTCTTATTTTTCTTTTTTTTTTAAGAGAGAGAGAGAGAATTTTAATATTTATTTTTTAGTTTTCGGCAGACACAAATCTTTGTTTGTATGTGGTGCTGAGGATCAAACCCGGGCCGAAGGCATGCCAGGCGAGCGCGCTACCGCTTGAGCCACATCCACAGCCCCTTTCTTATTTTTTTAATGTATGTATTTACAGCTATACATTTCCCCTTAGCACTGCTCTCACTGTATCCCACAAGTTTTAATATGTTGTGTTTTCAGTTTCATTCATCTCTAAGTATTTAATAATTTCTCTTGTGAGTTCTTATTTGATCCATTGGCTCTTTAACAGTGTTTTGTTTAATTTCAGTTTACTTCTGTTATCGATTTCAAACTTCATCCTGTTGGGGTTAAAGAAAACACTCTGTATGGTATATATCACTTTTAATTTATGGAGACTTAACCTATGACCTAATGTGGTCTATTCTGGAAAATGTCTTGTGTGCACTTGAGAAGAATGTGTATGCTGCTGTTGTTGAATAGAGTGTTTTGTATATATCTGTTAGATCTGGTATGCTTATTGTGTTGTTTAAATTCTCCGTTTCTTATCCCTGTCCAGTTGCTGACAGGGATTTTGTTGAGAGAATTGAGGTCTCTATAATTGTCAAAATTTTATTTCTCCTTCAATTCTGTTGAGTTTCGCTTCATATATTTTGATGGTCTATAATTAGGTACATAATTGTAATATCTTCTTGCTGTATTCAGCATTTTATTAATATATAACATCCTGTTTTGTACAATATTAGTGTGTCACTCTTACTCTCTTTGATTGCTATTTTGCAACATTATATCTTTTACCATCCTCTCTGTTTTAGTCAGCTTTTTTACTGCTATGACTAACAGATCTGACTAGAACAAGTTTAGGAGGAAAAGTTTATTTAGAGGCTCACGGGTTTAGCGGTCTTAGTTCATAGAAGGTTGGCTCCATTCCTCAGGGCTCCAGATGAGACTGATATCATGGTGAAAGATTGTGGCAGAGGGAAGCAACTCACATGAGATCAGGAAGCAGAGAGAGACTCCTCTATCCATATACAAAATATATACCCCATCATTACACCCCCAGTGAACCCGTTTCTCCAGTCACACCCCGCCTGACTCCAGTTACCACTAGTTAACCCATCAGGGATTAATTCACTGATTAGTTTAATGCTGTAACCTAATCACTTCTCCTCCAAACCTTTTTGCATTGTCTCACACGTAAGGGGGACACCTTACATCCAAATCACAACACTTCCATTTTCAATTTACTTGTGTCTTTGCACCTAGAATGAGTCTCTTATAAACAGCTTATAATTAAATCATGCTTTGTCCATTGTGCCAAACTCTTTTGATTGGAGGGTTTAATCCATTTACATTTATCTCTTCCTATAGGTTTGAGTTACTGTGTAGAGTCCTTTCAGTTCACCCTGCAGGACTCCCTGGAACATTTATTTCAAGGCAGATCTTATGTTAACAACTCCCTTAGCTTTTGTTTATACGAAAATGTCTATGGGATTCTTAGTTGACAGAGGTTTCCATGCCCACCCCACCCGCTTTTCTTGCACATTGTCTATATGGGCCCACTCTCTTCTGGCCTCCAAAGTGTCTGATGAAAAAAATTGCTGATGGTGTTATGGAGGATCCCTTATATGTGATGAGTTGCATTTCTCATG